GACTAGAGGGAAGGCAGCTAGTCATCACCACCCACCGCCAACTCTTGGGCTACTCTTTTATCAACGAATAGTGAGATTGACCGTCACATTATAACGCCCCCACGGCTGAAAGGGCGAGCATGTTTGGTGTAATAGGGATTCGAACCCGCGACCCTCAGATTGCGAGTCGAGTGCCTTAACCACCTGGCCATGCCGGACCCCTACGTTGTTTTTGGTAAAACATCTTCGATCAATCACAAAATAAAGCAAGTTCGGAAAAATATAAGTGGGCCAGTGGTACGTTTACGAGTTTACAACATTCAAATCCGGGGTTCGATTTCTAGACAAAAAACATTGTTTAGCTTTGCGCTTAGAAAACAACACATACATACACCCAACAGACCTGGCCCCGCATGGCCAGGTGGTAAAGGGAGCTCGACTCGCAATCTGAGGGTCGCGGGTTCGAATCCCCGTCACACCAAACATGCTCGCCCTTTCAGCCATGGTGGCGTTCTAACGTGACGGTCAATCCCACTATTCGTTGGTGAAAGAGTAGCCCAAAAGTTGGCGGTGGGTGGTGATGACTAGCTGCCTTCCCTCTAGTCTTTCGCTGCTAAATTGGGGACGACTAGCGTAGATAGTCCTCGTGTAGCTTTGCGTGAAATCCAAAACAAACAGACACAACAGACTTTACAACATAAAACTTCCACGAACCTTATTAGCTACAGATCTCTTTTGATTCATCCCTTAAGAAAGTAGGTCTACTTTTTGAAAGAGCTTTTTACTTTGACACTAAACACTATAACCAGAGTGCTTTCGATTTTCCGAACACCATAAATGAAGCTTTTATTTTATTATCATTATTATGTATTCCGTGTGATTTCTTAAACTAGCATTTCTCAGGATAGCTACTCTTGCTTTTATGTTTTTACCCCGGTGGGACAGCGGTAAGTCGACGGGCTTACAACGCTAAAATCCGGAGTTCGATTTCCCTCAGTGGACACAGCAGTTAGCCCAAACAAAGCCATCTGATGTCGCAATGGCCTAGCTATCCCAAATATTAAACTATACAACTCAAAAATGTGTTGTTTTTTATGTTCATTTCAGAGCAGCCTAATAAAAAGTTTCATATTTTCAATTCATACCAAAAAAGAGAGAGGCCGGTGGCGTAACTACAAAAGGTGCCCCCCCCCCCCCGCATTAAAAGTAATTGGGCCCCAACATTCATTTCCCAAAAATTGTAGGTACGATTCTGGCTGATTGAATAGTACAACTGCCCTTTATTTCAAACAGACCCCCAGTGGCACAACGGTATGTCTACGGACTTACAACGCTAGAAACCGAGTTTCGATACTCGTGGTGAGCAGAGCACAGATAGCCCATTGTGTACCTTTGTACTTAATTACAAACTTATTTCAAACAAACTAAATTGTATGTCTCTCCCCTTATCGGCAATTCTTAAATCTGTCAGGTCCCCCGACAACTGCGGGGGTTCCAGAGTAATTTATCTATAGTCTTTATACTTACAGGAATGAAGACATTCAGTAACAGTCGTAGCATCGACGAAGTAGCCACCACACAAGACACACGTCAAGTAAGGGTTCACGTCCACCACAGGAAGTCGGGATAGCCGATTCATGACCGAACTGAAATAGAGCGAGGAGAAATAAATAGACACGTCGGTTGCCAAGACAATAAGGCTGCAACAGAATTCGTATTCTACAGATAACATGAAATTGAATCTCTTAGAGTTGAGAAAGATAAGGTTAATTCTCTAAAATAAACCTAATATCTGTAAAATAATCGAATTCATAAGAAATAATAATATATGAGTAACAAGCATTGTGTTTTATTAGAGTGTAGTAAATACTATAACTAGCCAATTGTGTTAGAGATAATAACATATGTTAGAGAGTAACATTATGTTTTATTAGAGTATAGTAAATACTGTAACTAGCTAATTGTGTTAGAGATAATAACATATTTTAGAGAGTAACATTATGTTTTATTAGAGTATAGTAAATACTGCAACTAGCTAATTGTGTTAGAGATAATAACATATGTTAGAGAGTAACATTATGTTTTATTAGAGTATAGTAAATACTGCAACTAGCTAACTGTGTTAGAGATAATAACATATGTTAGAGAGTAGCATTATGTTTTATTAGAGTGTAGTAAATACTGTAACTAGCTAATTCTGTTAGAGATAATAACATATGTTAGAGAGTAGCATTATGTTTTATTAGAGTATAGTAAATACTGTAACTAGCTAATTGTGTTAGAGATAATAACATATGTTAGAGAGTAACAAGCATTGTGTTTTATAAGAGTATAGTAAATACTGTAACTACTAATTATTCTAGAGATAAAGGCTTGCTGATAAAGCGTTAATTTTAGCTTTTAAATGATATACAGAAAGCTAAATCTTGTTGTTATAAAGAAATATCGTAGAGCATGGGTTCCAAACGTTTCTCAGCACAAGCCCCCCCCCCCCCAGAACGTATCGTATTCTAACTGAGGTCTCTCACCCAATGAATCTACAGATACAGAGGGCCTTAACAATATTGTGTATTTGCTACAACCTCCATGATACTTTCCAGCGGCCACTGCCCTAAAGAGGTAGGTCTCGTGAGAGTGTAAGGTACACTGCGATGTACTGAGGGTTAATTAATCACACGTTAAAACAATGATGTTCCAGGTCCCATATTGCCCTTTACACTATTTCATCTTTCACTAGTCGTACAAAGTTTCATGGCCATGGGTTAATCCACCATTATCTAACTCTCAATATGTGCTGTAACGAATTTCTCGTCCCCCCAGTGGACCAGTGGTAAGTTTACGAACTTATAACGCTAAATCTTGGGGTTTGATTCCCCGTAGCCTATTGTGTAGCTTTTGCGCTACAATAAACAAAAACATGTTTCTGTGAGAGACAATGAGGCCAGTCTTAAACCACAGTTAAGCAGACCAAAGACACAGGCGTCTATTGAAACTGTATCAGGATACATGACGAGTGTCTGATCGAATGGTACTGTTGTAATTCCACTTTCTTCTCATAAAATCATTGATTTCGATTTGCGACTGGAAGCTTGTGAGATTTTGCTTATTATGAGTGTAATTTCCCCGAAAGGGGGCCAGAGGCCACCTGTTTTAACCATTCGCACCACTATACCGTAGTGTGTTTTCTGTTAGTCGGTCAGTAGACACTAAACTGACGTCACATAAGGGACGCTTAAGGATGTAATTTGTACTGTCGTGACGCCAGTAAAACGTGCACATGCCATGAATCACGAGAAGAATCATGCACTCGGTAGGTTACAACGCAGCATAACATACGAACTTCAAAAGCAAGAAATAAAAATAGTTGTTACTCTTAATTTTGGATTTATTTAGTCTTGAAACAGAACACTTTCGGGGACCCTGCGGAAGTATATCTAGTTGTTAGATACCTCTTCCTAATTATGGTTATATTTCCATCAGCTACTTTAACTTATTGAACAAGTTTACGAGTTACAAATACATTCAAAGGTTGGAGAAAAAAGCTACGAAATGGTGCATTTTATCCAATTAATAACACTTTTTTAGTTTTGATAATACTTCAGTAGCTGCAAAACTGCATGACTAATTTAACTAGCTTTATCTCCCAGCAGACCTGATAAACTTTAATAGTGAGATAAAGTGTTGAACTTAGCGTTTTATCCAAAAGTACATGTGATTTGGATTTAATGTACGTTTTATTTTACATGTAAACCATTTTCAGTTTTAGATTTTTTTTATCACAGAACTCAACATTAAAAAATGAATTACTCCAATAAATGGAGTAATTAATCATACGAAACCTGGAACTTTATTAAAATTGATGATAAAAAAAGGACAAGGTTAAGTTGTGTTAACATTAAGTTATGTAATGTTTCCCCAAGCTCACTGGCGCTCCCGGTGGCTCAGCTGTAAACCTGTGTGTTTATTACGCTTAACAACAAACATACAAGGTCACAGGCATTTCCACAAAGTTATGTTATCAACGTAACTTACAGAAAAACACCCGAGGATAAAAAAAACAAAAAACGAGGCATTCATATTATACCATGTCAATTCTGTGAGAAAGGTTATGTAGGTGAAACCGGAAGAGGTATTGACACTAGAGTTTCTGAACATAAGAAAATACATAAAATATGGAAACCACAAAAATGTCATTTTTCTTCACATGAAACAGATAACCACATAAAAAAGAAGAAAATTGTTTAATCAAAAGCCTGCCTAATTTCAACACCTCCCAAGGTCACTTTACACTTCCTGACCTCCTGTGTCCTTAAGGGAATTCCAAAATTAGGGGTCACGTAAGCGTTTGTTGACCAGTTTTCCCTGAGACTGAAGAGGACGCACGAATGTGTTGAAACTAGTTTCTCTGATATCAGACTTCGGACAGTTTGTTCCGTTTACTGTGATTTTTTTATTAATTGCTATACACGATATTGTGTTCTTTTTATCATTATTATTACGCTTTAAACCTTGTTCTTTTATATCTCTTTTTTCTTCTTCTTCTTCTTTTTTGAGGCTTCAGTAAAGGCTTGGGACCTAATCGCCATATTTCTAGTGACCACCAACGTAAGGAATTCTCTAAACTGTAAAGCCATTGTGTTCAAAGATAATCAATTGCGCTATCAAAATCTGTCTTCTTAGCAGCTTCACGTGGTACTTGAGGTCACAAAGATTTGTTGTTACGCGGGGCGAACCGGCTGACTTCTAAACTCCACTCGTCACAAGCGCACGTGGCTACTGTCGATATTAACCCCTCCCATCTCGGGAGCCAGCTGACGTCACTCAGAGTTTTGGTACGCCAAGTCCGAAGGCCACCGCAATGAGTTCACGTGCGGTATGAATAACTATCGCACCAATGCTACCGACTCTTCTGTCGGAAGATGTAATTGTCTTTTATCGTGCAATCCGTCAATTAGTACTGTCGATTTACGACACAGTAGCCACAACAGGGGCTAAACTGGTGTGGCAAAATACAATACTCCTTGTTCTACTTATACGGACGGACGGACGTCTTCTCTTCATTTAAAATAAAGAGCAAGTATACATGAAAACTTGCGCTGCATCAAATAAGGAACAGATGAGTTTTCCAACAGGTATGGACTCGCTTTGATTGGTAAAGCACAAAGAGTCCACTGTGAAGCTTTGCGCTTTAGAACATATAAACTAACGTACGTTATTATGGATCCAGAATTCGATCCTGCAACCAATAAATTTATGGAGCCACAAGAAAGCTTACATAGGTAAGAAAAAATGATCCAAAAATCGGGTGCAGTCCATATGACCCATTGCTAATTTTAGGTTAAAGTATAAAGGTATTTCACACTTTGATCCAATTTGTTGCCCCCTGTGGCACAGCGGTATGTCTGCGGACTTACAACGCTAGAAACCGGGTTTCGATACCTATGGTGGACAGAGCACAGATAGCCCATTGTGTAGCTTTGAGCCACAAGAAAGCTGTGTTATAAGAAAAATGATCCAAAAATCGGGTGCAGTCCATATGACCCATTGCTAATCCTAGGTTAAAGTATAAGGCATTTCACACTTTGATCCAATTTGTTGCCCCCTGTGGCACAGCGGTATGTCTGCGGACTTACAACGCTAGAAACCGGGTTTCGATACCTATGGTGGGCAGAGCACAGATAGCCCATTGTGTAGCTTTGTGCATAACTTCAAACAATCCAATCTGTTGAAATAGAAAACGACTATTAACAATAGCTTGCACACTACAAACCTGCATACAACGTGTGTATGTATACACCTCTAGTCTTAGTCCGGCTTACGTTAAGAATGGCACTCAAAAGTAACTGATATTTCCGATCAACGTTTATATAGGATGCAGAGCTGCAGTCTAAGATCTCTGTTCTTACACAAGTATTATGATCTACAAGATTCAACAGACTGAACAGGTTTTAGCAAGCTCTGCTACATGTGATTTTATGTTACACGACTCACAACCACACATTAGCAAGTGACCACATCACTGCTACATGTGACTTTACGTTACACAACTCACAACCACACATTAGCAAGTGACTACATCACTGCTACATGTGACTTTACCGTTACACGACTCACAACCACACATTAGCAAGTGACCACATCACTGCTACATGTGACTTTACGTTACACAACTCACAACCACACATTAGCAAGTGACCACATCACTGCTACATGTGACTTTACGTTACACAACTCACAACCACACATTAGCAAGTGACTACATCACTGCTACGTACACAAAACTAAAATAACTCATATGGATCAAAAACTTTAATGACGTCACCAGTCTCCAATGTGCGTCAAGTTGATCTTCCTACCTCAGTCTAGTCTACAATGTTGGAGAAGACTGCCTAGGGCCTTATATCTTGGTGTTCGTCATCCGTGTCTAGCGGTGATGGCCAACGTACCAGAATCGTGATGTTTTCTAACGGCTATGACGATAGTAAATATCGCTTGTTTTCAGCAGGCCATATTAACTGTAATAAACAAATTTTTCAAATATACACTAGGTCGTAGTAACTCCAACAAATATATGTAACAAATACACACTGTAGGTTACAATGACGTTAACAAACAAATATAACAAATATACAATAGGTTACAGTGATGTTAATAAACAAATATACACTAGGTTACAGCAACGTTAATTAACAAATATATAATAGGTTACAGTGATGTTAATAAACAAATATAAACTAGGTTACAGTGATGTTAATAAACAAATATAAACCAGGTTACAGTGATGTTAATAAACAAATATAAACTAGGTTACAGTGATGTTAATAAACAACTATAAAGCAGGTTACAGTGATGTTAATAAACAAATATAAACTAGGTTACAGTGATGTTAATAAACAAAAATAAACTAGGTTACAGTGATGTTAATAAACAAATATAAACTAAGTTACAGTGATGTTAATAAACAAATATAAACTAGGTTACAGTGATGTAATAAACAAATATAAACTAGGTTACAGTGATGTTAATAAACAAATATACACTAGGTTACAGCAACATTAACAAACAAATATACACTAGGTCACAGCAACATTAACAAACAAATATACACTAGGTTACAGTCATGTTAACAAACAAATATACGCTAGGTTACAGTCATGTTAACAAACAAATATACACTAGGTTACACTGATGTTAATGAACAAATATACACTAGGTAACAGCAACGTTGATTAACCAACAAATATACACTAGGTTACAGTGATGTTAATAAACAAATATACACTAGGTTACAGCAACGTTAACAAACAAATATACACTAGGTTACAGCAACGTCAACAAACAAATATACACTAGGTTACAGTCATGTTAACAAACAAATATACACTAGGTTACACTGATGTTAATGAACAAATATACACTAGGTAACAGCAACGTTGATTAACCAACAAATATACACTAGGTTACAGTGATGTTAATAAACAAATATACACTAGGTTACAGCAACGTTAACAAACAAATATACACTAGGTTACAGCAACGTCAACAAACAAATATACACTAGGTTACAGCAACGTCAACAAACAAACAAATATAAATTTCACTAGCTGACTGATGTTAACAACAGATATAACAAATACAAACTAGGTTACAGCAAACAAATATACACTCGGATGTAATGAGAGCAACAAAGAGATATATTAGTCTGGCGTAAAGGTAAATAGCATAAAAGTAGTAACTTTACGGCAGGCCACTGTAAGGTAGTTTACACACATACCATATATATCCCAGTCTGTGCTAGTGGTAGCTATCGGACATTCCAAATATACATCAGTCTATATATAGTAACAGTAACTAACGTATGTGTAGCAAGCTATAAAGAAGGCAGCTTCTGAAAAAAAAAAAACACGTGTTTCTAGGAATCGGTATGGTTTTTGAAATGACATGTTTGCTGCTAACATGCTGGTTTCTTACTATAGTAATGCGCGGATTTTATTTGAAAATAAAATATCCTTAGGTATGGTTTTTGAAATGACATGTTTGCTGCTAACATGCTGGTTTCTTACTATAGTAATGCGCGGATTTTATTTGAAAATAAAATATTGTTTTTGAAATGACATGTTTGCTGCTAACATGCTGGTTTCTTGCTATAGTAATGCGCGGATTTTATTTGAAGACTGTCAATATATATATATAGCAAGCTGACTTATATTAACATACTAGCCAAAGTACTCGGCTTCGCTCGGGTTATTAGATTGATATTTTAATGGTCGACTCCGTGTGTGTATATTTTGAATATATTTTAGACATGAGATACAGCCAAAAAATGTCAACTCTATTTTCTTTTCATGGGCCAAAATTCTTTAACTGTTTTGTTTGATGTCATTTCCCGAACTTTGTTTATTTCTTTATACCTTTTCTAGTATTCTTGGGTTATTTTCCGTGGGTCCTGGGAGGTCCTAATGCCTTTGTCCCCCCCCCCCTCCTTTTACTGACTAAGAAATGTTTGGCCCCATACTCTGTTGAATTTTGTTCATTTTTTGGTAAGATATGTCCATTTTTGTACCTAATTTGTGCCCATTTTTGGCAGATTTTTTGTTCTTTCTCAACACTATTTGGCAGAAAACATCCACATATTATTCATTCAGTAAGTGAGAATCAGAAACAAATATGATAATTTTCTATAGACCTTCAGGAAGCAGAATTATAGGGCTGTAGGGCAAAAAATTGGCCAAGATTTTTTGAGCTATGGCGGTCTCACACACAGACAGGATCTTTTATTATTATAGATTGTTTCAGGACTTGTATGCTTTAGTATAGAAAGCTGGCTTAACGGAGTGCGCTATCTGTAATATACCGTGAAGGTTATTAGCATATTGTTTCAGGACTTAGATGGCTTAGTATTAGTATAGAAAGCTAGCTTAACGGAGTGCGCTACACGTGATATACAGTGAAGGTTATTAACATACTGTTTCAGGACTTTAGATGTCTTAGTATAGAAAGCTGGCTTAACGGAGTGCGCTATCTGTAACATACCGTTAACGTTATTAACATATTGTTTCAGGACTTGCACGTCAGAGTATACAAAAAGCTGACTTAACGTAGTGCATTACACGTAATATACCGTGAAGATTTATTAACATAATGTTTCAAGACATAGATGTCTTAACAATTCCTACTTGCACAAACTCGTAGGTCAGAGTTCAATACACTAGGACCTGATGAATACGTTTTTCATACAGTGTATTAATACAAGAAATAAACACCAAAATGTCGTTTTTATTTAATTAGAAACTCAACGCTTCGCTTTACAGCTTCTTCAGGAGCGTTCACTAAAACATAAACCGAAACTAACAGTCCAAAGCTTTGTTATGTCTAATTAAATAAAAAACACATTTTGATGTTATAAGGTCGTTTATTTCTAGTATTAATATGTCTTCTAAACACCAATCTGAACTACAGATATTAACTAATGAATAAGTCTTTTAGTTTACAGTCTGTACATTTATATATTTTTTCCCCAATACTCGAAACATTACGCTGAACTTATCCCACTCTGAGTTACTATTTATCGTTTTGCCCTCCAGTGGCACAGCGGCGTGTCTGCGGACTTACAATGCTAAAAACCGTGTTTCGATACCCGTGGTGGGCAGAGCACAAATAGCCAATTGTGTAGCTTTGTGCTTAATTAGAAAGCAAACGAGCAAAATTTGTCGTTTTAGGGCGTCTTCTTTGCCTCTGATCCTTTCCGTTTGTTAATTTTCTTTAACTTGAATTATTTTTACAATTACCATCTCATTAAAGTAACAGGAGTTTCATAAAAGTTTATCAGTTGAAGTAAAGGTTTCCCAGAAAGTTTTATCTTCAAGAACCTGTCTGTCCGTGTGTCACGTGTTAAAACAAAATCAAAGTTTTATCTTCAAGAACCCGTTTATCCGTGTGTCACGTGTTAAAACGAAATCAAAGTTTTAACTTCAAGAACCCGTTTATCTGTGTGTCACGTGTTAAAACAAAATCAAAGTTTTAACTTCAAGAACCCGTTTGTCCGTGTGTCACGTGTTAAAACAAAATCAAAGTTTTGTCTTCAAGAACCCGTCTGTCCGTGTGTTAAAACTTTGATTTTGTTTTAACACGTGACACACGGACAGACGGGTTCTTGAAGACAAAACTTTGATTTTGTTTTAACACGTGTCTTCAAGAACCCGTCTGTCCGTGTGTCACGTGTTAAAACAAAATCAAAGCTAAGAACCCGTCATTTAATGACACAGTCTAATAAATGTTAGAGATCAGATGCATAAATCAGTTTCAATTCGAAACATCACAATTCAAATATATTCACAGAAAACAGTCGAACTTCATAGTGTTTCACATTAATTGTACTTAAAAATACATACTGCGTCAAAGTAATATTGATTAATTTAGTATTATAATATTCACATTAATTGTACATAACAATACATATTGTGTCAGGGTAATAATGGTTAATTTGGTATTACAATATTCACATTAATTGTACTTAACAATACATATTGTGTCAGGGTAATATTGGTTAATTTAGTATTACAATATTCACATTAATTGTACTTAACAATACATACTGTGTCAGAGTAATACTGGTTAATTTAGTATTACAATATTCACATTAATTGTACTTAACAATACATACTGTGTCAGAGTAATAATGGTTAATTTAGTATTACAATATTCACATTAATTGTACTTAACAATACATACTGTGTCAGGGTAATAATGGTTAATTTAGTATTACAATAGTCACATTAATTGTACTTAACAATACATACTGTGTCAGGGTAATACTGGTTAATTTAGTATTACAATATTCACATTAATTGTACTTAACAATACATATTGTGTCAGGGTAATAATGGTTAATTTAGTATTACAATATTCACATTAATTGTACTTAACAATAAATATTGTGTCAGAGTAATATTGGTTAATTTAGTATTACAATATTCACATTAATTGTACTTAACAATACATATTGTGTCAGGGTAATAATGGTTAATTTAGTATTACAATATTCACATTAATTGTACTTAACAATACATATTGTGTCAGGGTAATAATGGTTAATTTAGTATTACAATATTCACATTTGTTTTACTTATTATGGTAGAGTAATATTATTTCTATCACGATTACACTAACACATTTATTTCTAAATTCATAGTTATAATTTATTCTACATACTACTTTTACTTATTTTTTTCACGTAAATAACATATTAAAAAAAATACATGAACATATATGTAGTAAAACGACTTTTACAATACTTCGTATGTAGAAATTCTCATTCAATCAATTTTTGCCAGAACTTTCACTCCTGAACGGTTGAAACAAATGTAATTTTATTCCTGAATTAAATTAACAAGTAGTTATAATTAAGCAATACAAAGAGCCGGTATCTGTGTGTATAATACGGTTTTACGGTAGCTATAAGCGAAAATTGGAGTTTGTTTTGTTTTTTTCTCCATAACTCCAGGCGGCTACCCGAAATAGACTTCCAGCTGTTTGCGTTTATATAGTGGTTAACCGAGCCACGTGCAAGCCAGCTCGAGCAACCGAGGAATCACTTGTGGGGGGTTCATTGAAGGCAGGAATGTGAAATAGCGCGAAAGGTCACTAGGTTCACAGTAGTTGTTCGTGAAAGTAAAAGTCAGGTGTGACTGACGGGCGCAATGCTTATGCCAAGTCCCTCAGAGTGAATGTGATAAATTTATAGTTACATATCCTAATGTTTCTACCTGTGGTGTGAATACAGACACACACACATACCTTGGCAGTTATTTCGATTTTCAACCATCTGATTCTAAACCAGTGGGCCCGGCATGGCCAGGTGGTTAAGGCACTCGACTCGCAATCTGAGGGTCACGGGTTCGAATCCCCGTCACACCAAACACGCTCGCCCTTTCAGCCGTGGGGGCGTTATAATGTGACGGTCAATCCCACTATTCG